CCTCCCCAGATTAGTAGGTGGTCAAGGCGGTGAATGAGTGGAGCAGGCAACACCATACTAGAAATACCCCGTACAATAAAGATTGGAAATGGTTAGACCATTTTGGGTGCAAGGCCTACTTATCAGCGACTCCGCAATTTTAAATTGCCAATTATGAAGCACTGATGGCCAAATTCAATTACACCAACTATTCAAATATGACTCAATACATTCAGTCATCTTTGGGGGGAAAAAACAACAATTCTAGGCAATTATCTCAAAGGTCACCTTCTGGCTAGGATGGCCTTACAAGCTTCCTTAGACACAGCCGACACAGCTGCCCAATCAATGTCTCCAGTTGTAGTCATGCGAAGGGCATCATGGCTTCACTTCTCAGGATTTCCTGAAGAGGTACAATCTATGATTGAAGATCTTCCCTTCAAAGGATTGAAACTGTGGACAAGATGGATGAATCCCTTCATTACTTAAAGGATTCAGTCTTTATATATCTACACACCCACACAAAAGAGAAGCCCGAATAAATACCATTCTGCACAGTGATAGAGACCTGCTCCATACGTTTCTTCGCAGAGACGATGTGATTTGCAAAGACAGAGGGTCACAAAATATAGGCCACCTCCACTGCTTTCCCTAGTCCCATCTGCTCCAACCACCATCAGATTCGAGACTGCCTGACTCCATTCTACCCAGAATGGCAGAGTATCACCTCAGATAAGTGGATGTTAGAAATTATCAACATCAGATACTCATTTCAATTTACTTTCCTCCCTCCTGCCCTCTCTCCCCATCCTACTTCAGGGACCTTTCTCATCAGCACCTTTTATGGAAGGAAATAAACCACCTCCTGCACTTGGGTGCTGTAGAACCTGTTCTGATACAACAGAGGGATGGGCTTTTATTCCAACTACTTCCTAATCCCGAGAAAGAACAGTCATGGAAACCCATCAAAGTTCACCAATTCAGGATGGTCACATTAGCAACAATAATCCTAGCACAGGAACAGGGGGATTGGTTCTTAACCCTCAACCTCCAAGATGCATATTTTCACATCACTATAGATCCATCAAATCAGAGATTCCTCAGATTTGTTCTGGAGCAGGATCACTACCAGTGCAAGATACTTCTGTCTGGCCTTTCTGTGGCACCCAGAGTGTTCTCCGTGATCCTTGCAATGGTGACGGCTCACCCCTGCAAACAGGGAATTATGATATTCCCATACTTGAATGGTTTGTTTATTCAAAGCCCCCTCTCAAGAAGATACCCTAGCAGCAACACAAAGGACAATGGCCCTTTCCTCACAAGTAGGCCTCCAATCAAACATTCAAAAATCGATACTGATACCTGTACAGCACCTAGAATTTATTGGGGTCTACCTCAATGCATTAGAGGCCAAAGCCTCATTGCCAACTGTAACAGGGTGGGATTCACCGCTCACAAGCACCCCCCTTGGCAGAGTGCATGTGCCCACCCTTTCTGTATCCCTTGCAGTGAGTCTTCAGCAACTCAGCTCTCCAGCCAAGTCACACACTGTCTGTGTTTGAAATAAAAAGCAAAACCCTTCAGGGGTACAAGTCCAACTGGGACCTCTCTCAGTGCCCTCTGTAACATCTCTTTACCTGCAGCCCTGTCCTTAGGCTCACTCCTCAATCAGTCCAGTAGGGCCTATCATAGTACTCTGGTTCAAACTGTCTCTCAGCCCCTTCTATACTCTCTCAAATTGCCCCTGCTCTGGCATAGAACTGTGCCCCAGGGCTCCCTCCCTGGAGGCAATGTTTTCACCCTCTTGGGGCCTTTCTGGCCCCAGCTCTCCTGCTGGGCCACTAAAAGAATTCAGTTCCCCCTTCTGGGCTGCATCAAAAGTCCAGGCCACTTCTCCAGCGGCTAATGGTGGTGGCAGGGGGGACATGCAGGCCCACCACTACTCCAGATCCTAGCCCGGGGACCCTATACATAGCAGCCATCCACTGCATCACTGCTGCAATTCCCTGGGCCACTTCCCATGGCCCCAGCACATTCTTCACCATTACCTCAGGGCCTTGTCCCAGTTGACTCCCAGCAGCCAGCCCAGAACACCATCTTGCTCCCTTCCCGCATCTCTGCTAGCACTGCTCTGTCCAAGGTCCTGTAGCTGCCTCAGCCAGCCAGGCACACCATCCACACTGTTCCAGCTCCAGCAAGGAACTGAACTCACTCTGACTCTTTTTATACTAGCCTGCTGGGCCCTGACTGGCTGCTCCCTGCAGCCCCTTCTTATTGGCTGCGTCCCACACAGCCATTCTAGGCAGTTTTTTCAGGATGGGGAGATGTGTGGCAGGACCGTGAGGCCTCCAGCTGGAGGCTTCAGGGCCTAGTCCACTCTGTCACACTATCTCACAGTTTGTATGGTAACTTCCAACTTATCTGTGTATATATATATATATATCTTACTATATGTTCCATTCTGTGCATCTGATGAAGTGGGCTGTAGCCCACGAAAGCTTATGCTCTAATATATTTGTTAGTCTCTAAGGTACCACAAGTATTCCTGCTTTTTTTACTATCTCACAGATTTACCCCCACTAATCAATTTGATCTCTACAGTGCAATCCAGCCCACAGGTATCAGCCAGAACATGCTTACAACTAGGACTTATGGCAATGACCACCTTTGTTGTAAGACATGCCAGACTACATATGCGCTGCCTTTAGGAGTGGCTCAGGACAGTATACATTACGCACAGAGACAATTTGAACAAGTGTCTCTTAATGCCAGTCACAGTCAAAAGCTCACTAGACTGGTGGACAAAGCCCCACAAAGTGTGTTCTTCACAGAGCCACCTCTGTCACTCATACTGACAACAGACATGTCTCTGTTGGATCGAGGAGCATATTTGCAAAATTACAGAGTACAGGGCAACTTCAGTGTCAACTTTATATATCAACCTATTGCAACTCCAAGAAGTCCGGAATGCATGTTCACACTTTTTATCACTGCTCAGAAACAAGGACAAAAGAATAATGACCGACAACATTGCTTCCATATTTTACATAAACTGTCAAGGGGGAGCAAGGTCGCAATCACTGTGTGTCGGAGCACTGAAATTATGAAATTGGTGCATTCACCACAACATCAACATCTCAGGACTTACCTACTGGGAGGTCACAACACCACAGTAGACACACTAAGCAAAACATTCTCACAGGAACATGAGTGGGAGATAGATACCATGATCCTATACAAGGTATTCAGACATTGGGGATTCCCAAGTATAGACCTTTTTGCCACACTTGAGAACATCAAATGCCCACAGTTCTGCTCAAGAGCAGGACTGGGCTACTGTTCTCTGGGGGTTGCCTTCCTCATCAAATGGGACACACATCTGCTGTATGCCTTTCCACTGATCCCCTTAATGCCCAAAGTAATTCGCAAGATAAAAGAGGAACAAGTCAGAGTCATCTTGATAGCCCCAACATGGTTCAGACAAACATGGTTCCCTTACCTCCTATGGATGACAGTATGCCCACCAGTCATTCTTCACCCTGTTCCACATCTCCTGTCTCAGGATGCAGGCCAGACTCACCACCGAAACCGAGAGATCCTCCACCTGAAGGCATGGCTCCTGCATGGTTCCAGAATACTGAGATGACCTGTTCTGAAGATGTAAAGGAGATACTATTAAATAGCAGAGAAGATTGACTATGCGAGCTACTTACCTGCACAAATGGAAGAGATTCCACATTTGGTGCGCCAACAGACATGCCTCGGCTATCACCTCACCCGTGCCACAGATACTGGACTATATCTAGGGCCTACCAAATTCACGGTCCATTTTGGTCAATTTCATGGTCATAGGATTTTTTAAATAATAAATTTAATGATTTCAGGTATTTAAATCTGAAATTTCACAGTGTTGTAATTGTAGGGGTCCTGACCCAAAAAGGAGTTGTGGAGGAGTTGCAAGGTTATTGTAAGGGGAAGTTGCGGTACTGCCACCCTTACTTCTGCGCTGCTGCTGGCGGCAGCACTGCCTTCAGAGCTGGGCAGCTGAAGAGCAGCAACTGCTGGCTGGGATTCCAGCTCTAAAGGCAGAGCCACCACCAGCAGCAGTGCAGAAGTAAGGGTGGCATGGTATTGAAGGAACAAAGTATGGACACTGTGTAGAAGCAAGCATGTGGGTTTCAGAGTAACAGCCATGTTAGTCTGTATTCGCAAAAAGAAAAGGAGTAGTTGTGGCACCTTAGAGACTAACCAATTTATTTGAGCATGAGCTTTCGTGAGCTACAGCTCACTTCATCGGATGCATTCAGTGGAAAATACAGATGTTTTTATACACACAAACCATGAAAAAATGGGTGTTTATCACTACAAAAGGTTTTCTCTCCCCCCACCCCACTCTCCTGCTGATAATGGCTTATCTAAAGTGATCACTCTCCTTACAATGTGTATGATAATCAAGGTGGGCCATTTCCAGCACAAATCCAGGTTTTCTCCCCACCCTCCCCACCAAACCCACTCTCCTGTTGGTAATAGCTTATCTAAAGTGATCACTCTCCTTACAATGTGTATGATAATCAAGGTGGGTTTATTATGCACAGCGCTGGCGGAGTGTCACCTTGCTTATTAGGCTCAGAGACACTGCCAAACAATTGATTACAGTGAATTATATGGATTTTCCATGGGTGGAGGGAAGTGACAGGGTAGGCAGTCCCAAACCCCTGGATAGGTTTAGCAGCAAGACAAGATAAGCACAGTAGCCAATAGTCCAAGATTACATAATGTCTCCGCCCATGGTTTCAGGTTAACAAGTAACATACAATTAGTACACAGGTGTTTTCCTTTAAACAATGTATAAACTGTGTTAGTATAAAATATATATGTTGAATTCTGATTTGGGGTCCATAGGAACGAAGTAGCTCCTCTGATTGTCCAACAGGTACATACCTGGGGGTTAAAGCAAAGAGACAAATGAAAAGTATTTGGCAATAAAGATTGCTTTTTAGTTGTTCATTTGTGTTTCTAAGGCAGGCACTGGTAATGGCTTGGAGGAGGGATGTACATCTGTGAGAGGGAGGATGTCATATCTCATACTGACTCGTTTGAACCTCTTCCATAAACTCAAGGTTGGTGTGTAGGAAGACACCTCTTCTACAGAAGAAACAGGGCCCCTTTCATTCGTTAGGTCTGTTTGCAACTTTTAGATAAAGTCACCAATTATAATTCTCCATCTGGCATCTTGCTGACCAAGCTTATCTCAGCAATAAGGAAGGTTGTCTTCTGTTTTTTCTGCTTCTTAGCTAATATTGTTCACTATTTGCCTTAGATCTCTGGCATCTTGACCAAACTCTGGACTTTGGGCCTGTAAAAAGAGCTGGCATAGTCTATATATCAGGTTGCAACATAAACAGCATATGGATTTTAGCCCTTCAGTATGGAATTGCCACCCTTACTTCTGCAATGCTGCTGGTGGGGCGCTGCCTTCAGAGCTGGGTGCCTGGCAAACAGCCACCACTCTCTAGCCACCCAGCTTTGCAGACAGCACAGAAGTAAGGGTGGTAATACTGCGACCTCCCTAAAATAACCTTGAAACCCCCTTGCAGTTTCCTTTTGGGTCAGGACCCCCAATTTGAGAAACGCTGGTGTCCTCGTGAAATCTCTATAGTATAGGGTAAAAGCACACAAAAGACCAGATTTCACAGTGGGAGACCAGATTTCATGGTCTGTGACACGTTTTTCATGGCCATAAATTTGGTAGGGCTCTAACTATATCCTAGGACTAAAAAAATCAGGACTATCCTCAGGTTCAATTAGAGTTCATCTTGCAGCTGTTGTGGCTTTCCACTGCAAGATTAATGGACATTCAGTATTTACCCATCCTATAACAAAACGGTTCTTCACAAGTATTTGGACAAGATCCCACTCCACCTTGGGACCTTTATCTGATGCTACGATGCCTCACTGTTTGAGCCCATGGCAACCTGCTCACTCATACATCTATCTATGAAGACAACCTTTCTCATAGCCATCACATCCGCTTGAAGAGTGGGGGAAATAGTGGCTCCCATGATGTACCCGGTATATACAATTTTCTTCAAAGATAAAGATACATTACGGTCACATCCAAAGTTCCTACCTAAAATACCTTCCTCATTCCACCTGAATTAGGCTATTTACCTCCCATCATTCTTCCCCAAGCCACATGGGAATAAAAGGGAGGCCATGCTCCACATGCTAGACTTATATGCCAAAATTATTCCTTTCTATTACTGAAAGATCAAAAGGTTCAGCTATATCTAAACAAAGGCTTTCAAAATGGATTTCCGGTTGCATTCACTTCTACTATAGTCAATATGATTTGCAAACCCTCCCCCTGCCCAGGAACTCAAACACACTCCATGAGATCAATTTCCACCTCTATAGCCTTCCTGAACAATGTACCAATTACAGAAATTTGTAAAGCAGCCACTTGGGCATCAGCCCATACAGTCACAGAGCACTATGCGATTGTGTAGGACTTAACATCGGATGCTCTCTTACGACTGACTGTCTTATCATCGCTCATGAATCCCAACTCCGAAGCCCCATCCTTCCAACAAGGGGCACTGCTCTCCAGTCACCTAAAGTGGAGCACCCATATGGGACACTACTTAAAGAAGAAAGGGGTATTCACCCTGTGCAGTAACGGAGGTTCTTCTAGATGTGTCCTTCTATGGGTGTTCCACTACTCACCCTCCTCCCCATTACTTCGGAGTTCAGACACGGACTATGCGGTAGAAAAGAAACTGGTTTGGCCGCACAGCGCTATATAATCTCCAAAAGCAGCGCGAGATGGGGGAGCGCATGTGCGGTCCAAGTGGGCTCTGCTACTGAAAATCTCCAATCACAGGCACAGGGAAGCAGACTCACATAAAGTGGAGCACCCACAGGGACACACATCTCAAAGAACCTCAGTTACTGCACAGAGTGAATAACCCTCTCTCCTGATCTGGGGATTTTTCAGACTGTTGTGCTGAGCTACATGGGTACAAATTTCTTTTAATAGAATGTTACTTAAATACATAGTATCTAGGAAGATCTCTGAAATACTCTACTTTATCACATGCCTAATTTAAAACACCTGTTTTTGAGCGGTTTTTTGTTTGTTGTTTTGTTTTAGCAAACTAGAATGAATGATTTGCATTGTCTGAATTTAGACACTTGGATTTGGTCTGGAAGGTAAGTTTGGCCATGTGCCACTTAGTTATAGATAACAGATTGGAACTATTTAACAGTATGTTTTAATGCTATTATAGTAGCTTTTCTAGGAGGAGAATGGGAGTTTTTGAACTATTTCAACAGCCGTTACATTATTATTTCAATTTAATTTGTAGTGGCTACTAAACTGTTCTCTGTTGTGCTCCAAGGACCACTGATGCTATCAGGCAAATTTTCAGCACAGCATGTAGTGATTTAGTTGCCTCATTTTCAGACATGGGTAAATTACCACTGAAATTTTACTTTCATATGTCTTTTTAACATTACAGTCCCTATATGTCTTATGTTATGTAGATGAGGCTCTTCTTTATATTCTAGATTGGGGAAAGGTTTTAGTGTATATCAAGACAAACATTTAAGAAAGAGTAGAATTTACAAGGGAAGACTCTTTCGTAAATATTTACTTTTTGATAAAGTTTGTCAAATTATTTTTTTGCTTCCTATTATTACACTTGGTAGGGAGCATTTATGATAGAACCCACTAGAGAAGAGGAGTCACTGTTTATATATTGATTTTCATGTACCTATTTTAGACAAATGTCATTTGATGGCCATTGTGTCTGTTCTTCCCTACGTTGCCTAACTGTCATTTCATGCAAGGCAGGGGAATACAGTGTCTTCGAGTGTGTCCATGTGGATCCCACTCTAAGTGCATGTGACTTTTGTACAAGATTAGAATCTTTGAACAACAGTGTTCTTTGGGCCACTCCTGCACCTGCATGGTCTTGCGCCCCTCACCGCCATCCAAGTGCAGAGTGGCCGTGATTGCCCCTCATTTCCTTCTTGTTGTCCATTGCAGTGAGACAAAACAAGCAATGTCTGCTGCTACCACTTAGTGGAAATTTCTTCTCCTTTGCAAAAAGAAAAGGAGTACTTGTGGCACCTTAGAGACTAACCAATTTATTTGAGCATGAGCTTTCGTGAGCTACAGCTCACTTCTGTAGCTCACGAAAGCTCATGCTCAAATAAATTGGTTAGTCTCTAAGGTGCCACAAGTACTCCTTTTCTTTTTGCGAATACGGACTAACACGGCTGTTACTCTGAAACCTATCTTCTCCTTTGATATTTGTCATCTAGTTAGTCAGTTATGGTTAATTTCTCAATCAAATCATCTTTTTTCTTTAATTTTTTTTAAACATTTAATTTTTCTCTGCCGCTTTGCATCAATATTATAACCTACAGTGGCAGATTCTAAGCCTTTGGGCTTCTTGTGATGGACTCATTCCTCTTACAGTCAGCCATAAATAATCACTACCTTTTTTGTCTTAACAAGAACCATGTGCCAGATCACTGTTCAGTTTGCCATTCTTTTTTTTACCAGAACAAGGAAATCCAGGGAAACTTGGTTAAAGTTGTATCTTCTTGAGATCTCAGTGAGAGAAATTTCAGACCTTGAAAAAAGGGCATTAACATCTAAAATGGGACCGGTCACTTCTAAGTCACAGCTAGGCAGTGCCCGTATTAGCTGGCATGCAACACCTAACTTTCGAAGAAAAAAGGGGGTCTTCATCCTATCCTAGATCTGAAAAGAGTGAAGAAATATATACACTGTCTAAGATTCAGAATGGTAACATTCTCCATCATCCCTTCTCTTCAGGCTGGAGACTGGTTTGTGGCTCTTCACCTTCAAAACATGTACTTCTATATTGCAATCCATCCAACCCACAGGAATTATCTTTGATATACGGTAGAGCCCAGTCATTACCAGTATAAGATTGTACTATTCAGCCTGTCCACAGCACCGAGAGTCTTCATAAAATACCTACCTGTTGTGGTGGCCTATCTGAGGAGACATGCCATTCATGTCTATCCATATCTTGACAATTGGCTGATCAAAGGCAAGTCTCATCAGGAAGTTGCCAGAGCCCTGAACTATGTCTTTCACTTCTTCAGACAGCTGGGCCTCATGATGAATTACAAAAAATCCTCCCACAACCCATTATAGACAATAGAGTTTACAGAAGCCTTAATCAACTCCAAACTGACAAAAACATACTGTCATAGGGGGACTGGCTCCTTTAAGAGGGAGCAGGCCCATCGACCTGTGCCTGGTAAATTGCCTTCTAATGGGACTGAAGAGAAGACACCCGGCATATATAAAGGGTCAGGCAGTAATTGGGAAGGGGGAGACAAGAAGGGGCAGCTTGGATTTGGTGGAAGGTCCCAAAAGACAGCAAGCTGCTGGAATTTCTCCAGAGAGCAATAGTGGAGAGCTGTTGCGGGAAGAGAGTTGGTAAAAGCTCAGGGCCAGGACAGCAGCAGAGGAAGTTTGCCCGCTGACCTCTTTTGAACCAACGGAGAAGGAATATCCAGGTAAACAATTATGTGGGCTGGTGTTCCAGACAAGTAACAGGGAGCTGGGAAGAACCCAGGAAAAATGTAGATCTTCAGAATCTACAAAGCTCAGAACCAGGACAGCAGTGGAGGGAAGTTTGCCGGCTGACATCTTTGAGCTTGTCTCTTTCAGGGAGAAGGAAGTCCAAGAGAATAATTTTGATATGGTGGGAGAACCCAGGAAGGACTAAGAACATAAGCCCAGCGTGGGCAGACCTTGGTTACTTTTTCATTTTTGTTAAACGCAAGGCAGGCAGACTCTGTTTATTTTGCACTTTTCATTTGAGCTTTGAGTTTGGCTAAGGTACACCAGGGAGAAATCTTGGTACCCGCCAATCTGATTAAAAAAGGGAGACTGAAGAAGAGCCTGGCTTTTGTATTATGATGAAGGACTATACGTTGGGGGGGTTATTTTGAAGCATTTATGTTAATAAATTAGCCCATAGCAAAGGCATTATTGAACAAAAAAATGAAGATGGAGTTTATGAAGACCTGTATATTGGAGACACTGAGGCTGTGGCACCTCTAGCCATGAGGGGACGCTCCAGGAGGACCTGCCTTATTACACATACCTTTCTGCAGACAGATTTCACCCTCACTAGATGATGACCACCAGCATGAAAATGAATCCACCAACCACAATAAGAACCTGCCTCAGACTCCTAAATCACATGTCAGTATGCATGTATGTGACACCAGTAGCCAAACTTCATCTATATACAATACAAGATTGGCTAAGGTTCGTGTTTCACTCCTTGGATCATCAAATGAGCATGCACATCGTGATTCCCACTCACATTCTGTCATCATTGAATTGTTGGTCCGACCCAAGAATGCTCAGAATGGGGTCCTCTTCTCTACACCACCGCCTTAAAAGACACTGATCCAGATCCATCAGGAACAGGTTGGGACATACCCCTGGACAGCCTCCAAATACAAGGAACTTGGGTTCAAAAGAACAATGTCCTACACATAAATATTCTAGAATTACAAGCGATCAGATTAATTTGCATAGCATTCCTTCCTGTTTTAAAGAATTCTGCTATGCAGGATCTCACGGACAACACGTCTGAAATGTTTTATGTAAATAAATAAGTAGGTGCCCGCTCACCACCCCTTTGCCAGGACAGAATCAAGTTGTGGCCATGGTGTCAAAAACATGGGATAACCCCAATAAATCTCCATCTCACAGGAGCCAACTATGATTTAGCAGACTTTGTAAGGAGACAATCTGTCATCAACCCTGAATAGTATCATGCCAATATCAGAGATGCCAACCCTCCCTAATTTTCCATAATCCTCCTGATTTTTATATGTAATTACAAAATTACTAATTCAGGCTTAAATCTACTAATTTTGCAAGCACACACATTATACGCCTATGTACAAATATCTGTTTGTCACTCTCAACCACTCAGTTCCGACAAACTCAGCAAATAGCACCTCGGCCACAGGGAGCATTTTTCTCCACCATCCCTATGGCACGTGCACAGAGTACACAGTGAGGGTCTGATGGGAGGCAAGCTGCGGCAATTTTGAATGTGATGGGGTGCTGGTGGATTCACTGTCCAGACCACAGGCTGCATATTGTGTTCTGACTGCCCCGTGTGGACCCTGATGGACTATGTTAATGCACTGTAGGTGTGACAGAGAAGGCAATTCCTGCCATATCCATTAGAGACCTTATTGAATTAAGTTTAAGTAGCTTTGGGGTCCATTGTTTTAAATGAATGCCTTATATTCATTATTGTGAGCTGGGATTGTGTGTCACATCTCTAGGGGGAGGTGAATGCAAATTTCCTGCCTCTGGTTATGCAGAATCCCAGCCTTTTGAAGCTATTTCCAGAGGGGAGGACTACTGTGTACTAATTATCTGTTCCCAGAATCTGAAGATCAAAGGCCCAAGCTATTCATGGGGATGCTTGTTCTGAGCTAAGGCTATTATGAACTTGTAACCACAGGGAAACCCCTTTGTGGAGTTTGAAGGACAGACTCCTACAAGAGCTCTTGTTGGAGTTGGGGTGATCTCTAGTAAGCTTTTTAGCATGTTTCTAGGTTCTTTTATTGCTTTAGTATGTTTTTTCTGTAATGCTTTCACTTTAAGAATAATGTGCTGGCTTATAAAGAGCTGTGTGGTGACTAATAACTTCTATCAATTACCCTAAAGTCAGGCTTAAACCTAGAAAATAAAGCACAGACTGGCCTGGTTGGTCAATCTGGCTTGCTGAGGCTATCACAATGTACCCAGGGAACTGTGCAGCCTGGTAAAACCCCGGTCGGGAGGGAGAGAGGTGCAGGTGTCTGTCCAAGAGAAGTGATGGTTGAGGAACCAGGAGCCTAGAATGGGTGCCCTCAGGGGACCAGAAAAGGGGAATACAGGTCCGGTTGCCCTGAACTATGATGCTAGGTATGTAGAGTGCACCAGAAGGGTCTACACAGGATTGCTGGAGCTCAACATGCAGCTTGGGCAGTGAATCCAGCTCCCCTGACCTAGCTGACAGTTGCTGCGGCTTGCCTTCTGCACAATCTGTGGGGAAGGAGAAGCCAGAGGGGCAAATGAAGGCAGCAGTGGAGGAGGAGAAGGAATGCGACAGAAGAAGTAGAAGAGAAGGAGGACCATTTTGGGA